CATTAAATGCTCAAAATATTCTCCGTTTACTTCAATACACTTGCTGGGTCGCGTTCGAACTATGGTCGGTCATCGATCACCGAAATCTCACTCGAAGCCCGACTCGAAGCGACTTTGGGCTGTCCAGCCTGGATCTGGTACAGGAGATACGGCTCTGTGCTCTTACAGGGGAACCCTTTGAAGTTAGACTCCAGGAGCGGGATAGTCCGACCCAGAAATCCAAATTGGAATAAACAGTTTTCGCTGAAATAAATATCGGTTGTCTTTGGTTTATAAAGCATAAATTTCTACGAAAATCCTGAATTTTCAGAATTGAATCATTTCGATTTCTTACCGAATTTCTGAACAATGTCGTTCTCTTCCTGACTGTGAATTGTGACCAAGTGGCCCTCTCGACTCGCACAATATGCCACGGCGTCATCAAATGTAATTTGTTTAAATCTTGGTGCAACAACATCCTCTACATCGGAGGCGCCGAAGACTCGGAGGGTTGATCGCCTAGTTTTCATTATTTGTCATTTTCATTATTATTTTGCTAACTTGTTGAGTGTGTAACGTTATTATTGATCTCTTCCGTATTTTTATGAGTAAAGTTTAATTTTTGAGTTAATTATATTAACGGTTCATGCTGCATGCATCAAGCTCAATACCTATAAACTGGAAATTTCGTGATTTTCCCCATTAAATCCGTTTCAATTTGGCCTATTATCGTGGAGATATTCCTTGACATTTCGGCGATTTTGAAATCTCTAGAAGTGTCTCATGCTCAGATATTTCTTAAGGATTCTCAAGACTCACATCTCGACTTTCAATTCAGCACCAATCTTCGTCGATCGATCATCACTTTGCGAGATTTTCGAGTTGATCTCCGTGAATTCATCACTCCTTTCCTTTTGTTCACATTGACTGAAAAAGATGAGCTTGAATCCTTCAGGTTTTGTTCATTACACCCACATTTCCGTCTCGAGTCCGCAGACTTTTCCTCGAGCCTCGACGAGTTCTTGTCGGGTTCCATTCCTGAAAAGTCTTGTCATTGAGACACTCAAGTCCATTTATTGTTTCTTCTATCAATTTCGCTTTTTCCCCAGAAAACCAACAAAATTCTTCGACAAGATCTCAAGAGAACGGTGTCCGGACAATCCTTTTTACTACTGAAATCTAAGATCATCGAAAAAACGCTTTTTCACCAACTTCAAAGTACGACGATCACGAGACAGATTCTCATCTCGATCTTTCGGAGATCTGAATGGTTGACAACATAGCTATTTGAAGGGAAAAGAATACGTGGATGGATCCACTTGCCCGCTTTCTTGAATGGACGGAGAAATTTGATGGAATAGGAGGAGAATCGTGATGAATAGACGGACGGCCATCACACCCATTTTGCTGAATTGGTTGATTAGTCTTGAATTCGAGGAAATGGGAAGACCGAATGGAGGGACGATCCGATAAACAAGAGCTTTTTTTACGGAAAAGAGCTTTTGAGAGCTCCGAAATTGTTTCGGAGAACGATTGACTCATTAAGCCGTTGAAAGAATCGTTTCGAATAGAACTTCGTGCAAAAAATTAGCATTTCGGGAAAAAGAAAGCCGTCAGTTCGTGTGAAGTTGGTGAGTGAGAAAACGCGGAGTTATCAGGAGAGTACTTTCGGGGAAGGTCAACTGAACCGACCGTTCCCATCAAATCGCTACAATTGTTCCTCAATCCCCGCGGGGGAAGCTATCTATCTCCCCCCGGCGTAAACAATTTTTCCTAGAGGCTTTTTGACTTCTCCAACTTCAAAATTGAAAGCTCCTCGAGGACTGAGAAGCAATGAGTGATGAAATTTGGAGAGATTTTGAACTTGAGTGATGCAGATTCGGATGATGAGTAGTTTTCTCAAATCAAATTTCTCAAATCGAACTCGAGACAAAGAAAGAAGATCACAAAACTCTTGAGACACCGAGGCATCAGGATGATGAGGTTGGTTGTAGAAGCTCTGGAATCTTCCTTTCCCTCCTCGATGTCTTCAGAGCATCTCTTCTTGTTCCAAATCTCCAGAAATGCCCGAAATGACTGAAGAATTGCCTGAAAAGAGTGCCAAACGCATAGAAGAACCGGTCATCTCGTTGAAGAAGATCGCCCAGCTCGAAGACGATTTGTGGGTTTTTCGCCAAATCCTTGCTTTTATCCAAAACAGTCTTTAATTTAATCGAAGAGTTTAGGGAAGAAATGAAAAAGGACAAAGACGTCGAGATGAGTCGATTGGCAGCAAATATGGCTCAAATCGAGTCGAATTTAACGGGGAATTTGTGGGTTGTTCACCAAATCTTTGCTTCTATGAAAAAGAGTCTTTAATTTAATTACTAATTTTCTCGAAGAACAAGTGAAAATTAAAGGAAAAGGCTACTAAATAAGCAGAATTGATGAGAAAGTCAAACAAGAAATTTGTTGCCAAACAAATTCTTACCAAATAAAGAGAAAGGAGGAGAATGGGCATTCCTTTAGTCATCATTCGTCAACCAACAACAATCAATATTCATTTCAGCGAAAACTGAAAACGAAAACTTCGGCATTCATTAAAGCCGGCTGAACTGTTTCCATTTCTCGAGTCATTTGGGGTATCTCATTAAGAAAATCTATGGTAAAATTAGTGAGTGTAAAGAGAATTCATCTCGCTCGAAATTGATTTATCTGTTTGTTGACGTAGTACTTGGCATGGGTATGTGTACAAGTTGGATATTTGCCTTGATAGGCATTGGAATGCTTATGAGTTTCCGGTCGTGTCTTCCAACAGCATTCCATGCAAATCGAGGCCCACATTGAAGAGCAAACGATTTCTTCAAACGACTGAGAAGGTTTTTCGGTTGTGCAGATTGACTGACTCAGTAAATGTGAAACTAGACTTTTCTTGTTTTGAACGGCCCAAAGAGGCGAAACGAGGTTTTGAAGACGCTGTCGGGTAGGAGACCAGGCCGTCCATTTCCCATTTGGCAGCTCCAAAACTGAAATGTGTTCAGTTCTAAAGAAAGGAAAAAAAAGAAGTTCCCTCAAATTGATAGCAACATGTTTGAATTAACTATGCATTGGAAACAAATAAATGAATAAATATCGATGATCTCGGAATTCCGTGATGATTTCAACTTTTTCCAGAACGAGCCGAACTTTCGTCTAAATAACTTCAATAATCTCCGCATTCCATTCATGTTCTAATAACGACGACAAGGCTCATTCAAAGGGATGAATCCCGTTTTCGATCTTCTTCCATTGTTGTAAAATCCTTGTCGAAAAACGGAATTCATTTTGGAATTGTTGCTCAGTTCAGCTTGGCCATCAAATTTGCCACCGCCGTACTTCGCACCACCGACGGTCGCTTGAAGAAGTTGTCCGATGCTGAAGCTAAGAGAGCCTCCACCAAAATAGAATTTAGAAAACTAGAAGTGAATCTTTTAGGCTTGGTAAAATTTCAGTGGTAATTCTGATATAGTATTTGCAAATTTGACTTTCTAGATATTCATTTTTTTGACAGAATGTTATTATACTATTGTCCAAGAACCCATATAATCTTTTGACTTGGATTACCACTAACAAGTGTATTTTTTACCCAGGCTTCACTTGCCAAACTCAATTTTCTTTAGTAACAATATTTAGCTTTTTAAAATATAACTTTATTTAACGTAACTCTCCTACTCGGAAAAAATGACGCCTTTTTGACTTGATTCCCTTTCGACATTACCTTCCACTAGAAAAATAGCAAAAAGAATGATAATTGCAAAGAATAACGACTTTTAGGAAATGAAATGGTGCTTAGCAAATTGTTGACATACAATGTGTGGAATATAAATGAATATATTGACCTCAGAACACTCGCAATACACTCAACATGTGTTAGGGGGATTATCCATGAATTACAGGTCACCGTCAGAGCATTGTAGTCGTCAGAGCATTGAAGGCTGCTAAATTTTGGATAATTAAAAGGAATAACAAAAAAATTTGATTTTTAGACTAGATTGAGTTAATAGTTAATTATTAAATTGAGCAAAAGATGGCATGATTTCCTAAATACTAATGGAGAATTTCCTTTATATTAAACCTCTTTATTTGTTGTTTTTTGAAATGAAAATTCAGGTCAAAAAAATCGCATTATTTTTCCGCCCACCCAATAACATTCTCGTAATTAATCCAAGTTTCATCCAAATTCGAATCCCAAAAACCAGCAGCTTTAAGGAAATTAAGGAATGACAAGGAATCTGGGTGTGGAGATAAGGAATCTTTCTTTTTGAAATGTTTTGAAATGGTTTCTCGTCCATTTACTCATTCCACTATTTCGATTTTGTTTTACCAAAAAGTTTGCCTTCTTCAAATCTTCAATCACATTTATTTTCAAAACCCAAAGTTAGCATTTGAAAGTTAGCAAAAATTCGTCGTGTGGGCGCTGAAAGGTCAACAAAAATGCATCATTTGATCTCTTTATTAGATTTAGTGAGTTTTCAATAACAGTTTGACAAAGCTTGTTCTACAAAGCCTAGCACGGCCATTCGAATTCTAGCTCAACAATAAAATGAATAGACTTGGCATTCAATAACAAATTGACCAATTCACGAGATCAAACTAGGCAAATGACCTCTATAAAATGACTGCTTGACCAAATGACTTGACCTCTTTTTTTCGAAGCCTTTAACTCGGTGACATCGCAAAATCGAAAGATGTAAGGTGATAGATTCGATTTATTAGATTCTTCTCTTCCTTTTCACACCAAAAGCAAGCAATTATAAAGCCTCCACAAAAACTAGTAGTATTGTGAATCTAAAAATAACTGTCTGTCTGTTTGTAATGAGAAAGCGACTTTTAAATGCTCAAAATTCCATTGTCAAACATCTATTCAGGCTCGTCAAAACAGTTATTCCTGCCCTTTGGGCCGTCAAAACTTTCACTTTGGCACTTTGGCATCGTCGCTCCATTCATTCTTCCCATTTCCTTGAATTCAAAACCTTGAATTTCGAATTCACCAATCGATAGGAATGGGTGTGATGGCCGTCGCTCTATTCATCACGGTTCTCCTTCTTTTTCAACAAATTTCTTCGTCAAAGTTGGTCAGAAAGGGATTTTCGATGATCTTAGATTTCAGCAGTAGAGACGAGGGTTCGTCGTCCATTGATACCGTCCATCCCATCAATTTGAGGTCTTGTCAAAGAAATTTGTGGGTTTTTTTTGGAGAAAAGCAAATCAATAAAGCGAATTTGGTAGAATGAACAAGAAATAGGTTTGCGTGTCCCAATGACAAGACTTTTCAGGAGTAAAAGCCAACAAGAACTCGTCGAGGCTCGAGGAAAAATCTGCGAACTCTGCGAACGACCGACGAAGATTGGTGCTGATTTGAAAGAGATGTGAGTCTTGAGATCCCTTAAAGAAATATCTGAGAATGAGACACATCTAGAGATTCCAAAGTCGCCGAAATGTCAAGGACCTGCTCCGCGTTGAAAGCCGATTTGTACGTTGAAAACTGTTAGGATTTGACTGGCTAGAGTTGTTCAGCGAGAGGGAGTTGAACGAAACGAGAGAGAAAAATGCTGAGGTCGAGAGGGAATTGAGGTCCGAAAACACTGAGCTCAGAGCCGATTTGTGAGTTTTCTTCCCTCTTTGGTTATTCTTTGTTATGACAGCTGTTAACTAACAGAACTCCTTTTAGAGCAACGAAAATAACCGAATTGAGGGCTCAAATGTGAGTTCATCTCTTGTCGACTGAGACTTAAGAAAAGAGTTTTTTCATTTCCCAAACACCCATTCCACTCAATCCAATCAATTCCTCTTTAGACAATCTGAAAGGGAAAACAAAACGGCCGAAATCGCGAAGTTGCAGGCAGATTTGTGAGTTTGTTTTATGGAAAAGGAAGTAGTATTTGTTTCAAAAAAACCTGGAGTAAAGTTTTTCGAAGAAATTCAGAAATCAAACGATGACTTTCTTGGATCTGAATGGATGGTCGTATTTGGAACAAACCGCTTCTTGGTACAAGGTTTGGTGGATGTTGTGAACCAGAATTATCTTCATCTCAAGACTTTGGATCAAGAAATGACATTTGATGAAGCCGAGGCATATTGTGGGGGCAAAAAGAGCCATTTAGTCACAATTCACAGTCAGGAAGAGAACCATTTTGTTTGGAAACTCGGTAAGAAATCGAAATGATTCAATTCTGAAAATTCATGATTTTCGTAGGAATTTCTGCTTTATAAACCAAAAACAATATTTATTTCAGCGAACACTCTTTATTCAAATGCTTGGTTCTGGATCGGACTGAAGGTTGAATTTTTCTTATGGAAAGACATAAATGAATATATTAAGCTTAATCCTTCAATTTTTTTTCCGCCGTTTTGGAACGCACTTTGTAAAAATGATTCGTTTGACTGATAGTTCTTTGATAGAAATAATCGTTACAATCGGGAAACTAGAATCATTTCAATAATAAGAAAGGAAAATCGCATCGGAATAAGAATGTCTAAATACAAAAATTTCTTTATCCAGAGAAATCCGAACAAAGAAAATGCTTTTGAATGGACGGATGGAAGTTCGGTGGATTTCACGAATTGGAGATCGGGAGATCCAGATTCGAACACCCACGCTACGGTGAGATTTTCAGGGTGAAATCATCAATATTTATTCCAATTTCCAATGCATAATTAATCCAAAAATAGTTCGATGAATCGATTTTTTTTTTGTGAAATGACGCAAAGTGTTTTATCGAAGGATTTCCATCAGAAATGAACACATTTCAGCTTCGGAGCGGCAATGGGAGATGGATGGTTTATCCTCCTACCTATCAGATTCCTTTTATCTGCAAAAGGAGCTCTCAATTCTGATCAATATCTTATGTTCCTTTCTATGGACAAAAACTAATAAATCCCATTTTATTCAATCTTCTGAAAACACACAACTGCATACTATCTTTATTTCTGAATTGTGTGTTCAAAATCTCATATAGAAAGTTTTCCCAAAAACCCAAAATTCCAAAAATTCGATTCATGGTTTTTTCGACTGGTTGGTTCTGTTCTGCAACAAGATCACAGACAGGCACGATTGAGGCAAAACTAAGCGAGCTGCACCAGAAAACTGGCAAAGCAATTTTTGATTCAAAGCACTTTTAGCTAAAACACAGCGGCCACGCCAGCCGAGCAGAAATCTTGTTGATGACACAAGTTGGTGAAGACTTTACTTCTCTTGATCATCATGATCTTTAGATGATCATCAGTTCTCTGGTTACTTTCACTTACACTATTGGTTTCTATTTCGTTGGAAACGTTTCGAATTTATTTTTCAACTGGGATGTTGCCAATATGTCGATGTCTGTTCGTGATTTCGGACACGCGTTTCTCTTCAACCTGATTTTAAGGTTAGTGCACAAAATCATATTTACTGTAGATTAAGCTCATTTTAACACTTACAATGTTTATTGTAGTATAAATCTTCTCATTTCAGTATAATCACCGCACTTTTCCTCCGAAAGCCGAAAGAAAAGCCGGCAAGGACAAGAAATTCGATCACCGTGACTGTTCATCCATCAAAAGGTCATTGAAGCGGCATAATTGTGATATTGAACTGTAATATGTCAAACTGAAATTATATTTCTATAAAGCTTTATGTTTAAATAGTTGATAGAAAACAAAGATAAAAAGAAAAATCTGAAATATAAATCTTAGCTAGTTACCGTATTCACTCTAATAGTAGTGGACCCCGCCGAGTCGAGTTGATGACTATTTTACGGTTTCGAGATTTTCGCAGAAACTCTACACTCTATTCCCCCAGAAGATCTCATCATCAGCTACATTTTCCGACCCCACATCGATAGGTTCTGATAAGCGGTTTTCGAAATTTCGAGCAATTCAGGCAACGCTCAGGGTGCACTACTATTAGAGAGAATACGGTAAGCCGGTTGTTAATTTGAAGAAGTACCAGAAGGCTGAATAGTCTGAATTCAATAGTTCGGCTTCAATCTTATCATTGGGGATGATTTTGCTTCAAAAGCCGAATAGAACAAAATGTTAAACGGGTTTCCCCAAAATCCTCACAATATAACAGGGACACGCAATATTCAGCATAGGGCCCGCTCGTGATACAAGTACACAACGGATTCACGCTTCGTCAACACAAGCATTATCAAATTCTTTCTATAATATTAGATCAGCTATCTAAACAGAATCTAGAACCTTAAAGATAGGGGCAGAGGAAAGCCACCGATCTCAACACCGGTTCATCGCGCATTTTCGGTGCGAGGTGCAATTTTGAGCTGATGAATCTATGTGATGCTAATGATACAGATAGCTAAAGGCCTTGTATCTCTTTTCTGTTGTCCCTTGAGCTATCTGTTCAGAAATCGTTGAGAGGATTCTGGTCAGTCTCCTGTTTGTTTCGAAGAAAAAAAAGAATAAGTTTCAATCAATGTAGAACTCGGTCAAGTAAAACATTTCAGACTCTCGACGATCTGGTCTACATCGCTAGAAAGCTGCAATTCAATGAAGACTTGTACCTGGGCTGAGCGCCCGAGAATATTTGACCTCAAAGCGGCAAGGTTGCCAATTCTACGATCCGGAATACATCGAAATAAGTTGAATAAATGACTTTTTCTTCAACTTAGACTTATAACCTTGTTTGTGAGGTCGATTGGTGCCAGAACATTTACTTTGAGTCTCAGCAAAACATGTGTACATGTTAGTAGTTGATTTCAACTGATCTCTTCGAAGTGGAAAGAATCGGGCACTAGCTATGTCGAAATAAGGCATCGAAGATCATATAGTTTTCACCTAGATTCAGCTAAGCGATGGAAAAGACCAGACAAACACAAAAGGGTATATATTGACATACCACATCCATTTAATGTCAATCCTCTCATTTTAGTCGCGCCCGCAAAGTGTGGAAACCACACAAACTCGAAGTTGATCATCCTGGGCTTTTTTTCGTTTTTGTGAAATTTGGGAGAGAACTAGATAGATTCTCTACCCACCTTCACAAAAATCACACCCAAACCTTTCTCATCATTTCGACGTGGGTGCCGGAGAAAATCAGCTCCGAGTTTCCGGATTTAAGTGGGTTGACAAGTCCAGAGATAAACTAGTAGAAATGCGTTCTTGACCCACTGGCAACATTTCCTCAAATCGAATCGTACAAACACGGCGAGCACAGCGTCGATTCGGGATACTTCAAGAATGGCGACTTCTAAAGAAAGTGATTGATGATCATTGTTTGAAAGCATCCCTCTTCATTACGATCATTTAATAACTACCCACAATAATAAAGTTTTCATTCAGGCCCACACGGGTTTCTATCTTTTCTGACCTCCATGATATCTTTGATCCAACCACGGAAAGCCGAGCTTTCGATCTATGCCGTTATTCTATTTAATTTGGACTAATAAGGACTCCTTTGATTGAAAAGAGATCTTTGTTAAACTCAAACTCGAACAGCATCTCTCTCGCCGGACCTCTTCACTCGCTACTCGTGCCTCAAACCGATTTTCAAAGAGATCAAAGAGAGATTCGCTTAGCTACACGTAATTCTCCGCAAACGTGGCCGAGAACATCACGAGGCAAATGAATGGAGAATTTCGAATCAAATCCATTTTGATTGCTTTCAGTTTGACATTACTAACGGGCACCTTCTATAGGCGACCATTTTGCAAAAAGATTATTGAAAGAGTATAATGTAGTGATATGTACATAGCTAAGTGATTTCCTCGAACAAATTCCATCTGAAAATGGGGTTTCATTCTTTTTTTGACTATAAAGACATTCACAGCTCATTATATCTACAATACATACATACATTCTCTACTTGCTTAGTCGTTATGATTAGCCAAAAAGAGACCAAGATCTTCGCCTACAGAACCAACAGTGAGTCGAAAAAAGGCATAAATCGAATTATTGAGAACTTCAGGAACAAAAATCAAAGACAAATCGACGAGTTGAGGGACGAGAAGAGCGACTATCACGAAGAATTGTCAGTTTCCTCATGCTGAGGTCCATTGATGTTCAACACGTTTATCTAATAGTCTATTCAGGAGCGACGAGAGAGCAAAATACTTGCAGCTTCAGGCGGAATTCTGGGCTTTTGAGAGAACTTTATATGAGATTTTGAACAAACAATTCAGAAATAAAGAAAAAGATAATGTGCAGTTGTGTGTTTTCGGAAGAATGAATAAGATGGGATTTATTGGTAGTTGTCCACAGAAAAGGACAGAAGACATTTATCAGAATCGGGAGCTTCTTTTGCAGATAAAATAAGCCTGAGTGGTAGGATAATAGACCACCCATTTCCCAATGTAGCTACGAAGCTGAAATGTGTTCATTTCTGATGGAAACCCTTTGATAAAACACTTTGCGTCATTTCACAAAAAGAATTTCCTCAGATTGATCAAAATATTTTGGGATTAACTATGCATTGGAAATTACAATAAATATTAATGATTTCACGTTGAAAATCCCACCAAAGTATGGGTGTTCGAATCCGGCTCTTCCGGATACCACTTCGTGAAATCCACCGAACTTCCATCCGTCCATTCAAAAGCATTTCCTTTGTTCCGGATTTCTCTAAATAAAGGAATTTTTATGTTTCACTATTGCTATTTCAACCATATTTTTTTCCATTTTACAACTATTCTAATTTTTCAATTCAAATTAGACTTCTATAAATTCTATCATTTCAGATTTCTATCAAAGAACTATCAGTCAAACGAGTCTTTTTTTACAAAGTGCGTTCCAAAGTGGCTGAAAAAAATGAAATAATTAAGTTTAATATATTCATTTATGTCTTTCCATAAGAAAAATTCAACCTTCAGTCCGATCCAGAACCAAGCATTTGAATAAAGAGTGTTCGCTGAAATAAATATTGTTTTTGGTTTATAAAGCAGAAATTCCTACGAAAATCATGAATTTTCAGAACTGAATCATTTCGACTTCCTACCGAGTTCCCAAACAAACTGGTTCTCTTCCTCACTGTGGATTGTGACTAAATGGCTCTTTCTGCCCCCACAATATGCCTCGGCTTCATCAAACGTCATTTCTTGATCCAAAGTCTTGAGATGAAGATAATTCTGGTTCACAACATCCACCAAACCTTGTACCAAGAAGCGGTTTGTTCCAAATACGACCATCCATTCAGATCCAAGAAAGTCATCGTTTGATTTCTGAATTTCTTCGAAAAACTTTACTCCAGGTTTTTTTGAAACAAATACTACTTCCTTTTCCATAAAACAAACTCATAAATCTGCCTGCAACTTCGCGATTTCGGCCGTTTTGTTTTCCCTTTCAGATTGTCTAAAGAGGAATTGATTGGATTGAGTGGAATGGGTGTTTGGGAAATGAAAAAACTGTTTTCTTAAGTCTCAGTCGACAAGAGATGAACTCACATTTGAGCCCTCAATTCGGTGATTTTCGTTGCTCAAAAAGGAGTTCTGTTAGTTAACAATCTGTCATAACAAAGATTAGCCAAAGAGAGAAGAAAACTCACAACTCGGCCTTTAGCTCAATGTTTTCGGACGTCAATTTGCTCTCGACCTCGGCATTCTCTTCCATCGTTTCGTTTAACTCTCTTGCATTACGGGATTGAAATATGTATCTAAATTGTCGAGTAGATATTGGAAAAGTTTAGATCAGATCAGTTAGATTGCAATTTATCCAATCCGATCTGGTAAAATTCAAATTTCAATCGACTTCCACCAATCTGCTCTGATCTTGAGAGAAACCGCTTCTTTCGTTAGTTAACAGCTCTCATAACAAAGAATAACCAAAGAGGGAAGAAAACCCACAAATCGGCTCTGAGCTCAAAGTTTTCGGACCTCAATTCCCTCTCGACCTCAGCATTTTTCTCCCTCGTTTCGTTCAACTCCCTCTCTCTGAACAACTCTAGCCAGTCAAATTCCAATATTGTTGAACCTACAAATCGGCCTTCGACGCGGAGAAGATCGTTGACAGTTGGGCGATTTTGGAATCTCTAGAAGTGTCTCCTGCTCAGATATTTCTTAAGGAATCTTAAGCCTCACATCTCGGCTTTCTAATAAGCACCAATATTCGTCGTTCGCTCGCACAGTCCGCAGATTTTTCCTCGAGCCTCGACGAGTTCTTGTTGGGTTTTACTCCTGAAAAGTCTTGTCATTGGGACACGCAAACCTATTTCTTGTTCATTCTACCAAATTCGCTTTATTGATTTGCTTTTCTCCAAAAAATCCACAAACTTCTTTGACAAGACCTCAAATTGATGGGATGGACGGTATCAATGGACGACGAACCCTCGTCTCTACTGCTGAAATCTAAGATCATCGAAAATCCCTTTCTGATCAACTTTGACGAAGAAATTCGATGGAAAAGAAGGAAAATCGTGATGAATAGAGCGACGGCCATCACACCCATTCCGATCGATTGGTGAATTCGTTTTGAATTCAAGGAAATGGGAAGAATGAATGAAGCGACGATGCCAAAGCGCCAAAGTGAAAGTTTTGACGGCCCAAAGGGCAGGAATGGCTGTTTTGACGAGCCGGAATAGATGTTTGAGAATGGAATTTTGAGCATTTAAAAGTCGCTTTCTCATTACAAACAGACAGACAGTTATTTTTAGATTCACAATACTACTAGTTTTTGTGGAGGCTTTATAATTGCTTGGCTTTGGTGTGAAAAGGAAGATAAGAATCTAATAAATCGAATCTATCACCTTACATCTTTCGATTTTGCGATGTCACCGAGTTAAAGGCTTCGAAAAAAAGGGGTTCCCGGGGTTCTCCGTTGTAAATGACGCTTTTTCCACTAAAAAAACGGTTTTTCAAAAATCTGTCAGGAGAATTTGGAAAATTTTCCTGTTTTGAAATGAGTACATTTTTCTGTGTAGAATGACACATCTTTCATCAAAATTCATCAAAAAACGCAAATTGCACCGATGTGTGTAAGACCTAAATCACTGTTTTGACGGCCCGAAGGGCAGGAATGAATTTTCTGAAAGACCCGAAGGACTGGAATGAAAATTTTTGAAGGCCAGAAGGGCCTGAGTGTAACCGTGGACTTTTCTGAACTGTCTGAAAGGCCTAATGAGAGATTTGTACGGTCCAAAGGGCCGAACTATGTCTATTTTCCAACCCATCAGCGCAAATACTTTCACGGGTCCCCCAATTAGACAGCGGGCAAAGCGAACGATCGTGAGCGAACAAAACCGGACGTGGAGCTAGCGAGATCACGACAAGAGTCTCCGAATTGGAGACCAGGTTCGAAGCCGATTTGTGAGTGTTTGTATGCTTTATAAACTGCTTTATAAACTTTATAAAATCTATGCTTTATAAACCAAAAACAAGATTTATTTCAGCGAACACTCGTTATTCAAATGCTTGGCTCTGGATCGGACTGAAGGTTGAATTTTTCATATGGAAAGACATAAATGAATATATTAAACTTAATTCTTTCATTTTTTCAGCCACTTTGGAACGCACTTTGTAAAGAAAGATTCGTTTGACTGATAGTTCTTTGATAGAAATAATGGTTTCGATTGGGAAACCAGAATGATCTCAATAATAAGAAAGGAAAATCGGATAGAAATCATCGTTTGAAATGAAAGACTAGAATAGTTTTAAAACGTTTTAAATAGTTTGAGTTGAAATGGAAAAAAAATTGGTTGAAATATCAACAGTGAAACATAAAAATTTGTTTATTCAGAGAAATCCGAACAAAGGAAATGCTTTTGAATGGATGGATTGAAGTTCGGTGGATTTCACGAATTGGGACGTTGGAGAACCGGATTCGAACACCCACGCTTTTGTGAGATTTTCAATCATCAATATTTATAGTAATTTCCAATGCATAGTTAATCCTAAAATATCTGGATCAATCTTAGGAGATTTCTTTGTGTAGAATAACGCAAGGTGTTTTATCAAAGTATTTCCATCAGAAATGAACACATTTCAGCTTTGGGGCTAGGAAATGGGAGGGAAATGGGAGGTCTTTTCTCCTACCGATCAGTTTCGTTTGATTTGCAAAAAGGAGCTTCAGTTCTGAGAAATGCTTTATCTTCCTATCTATCGACAAAACCAATAAATCCAATCTGATTCATTCTTCTGGAAACACACAACTGCAGATTGTTTTTTCTAGAATAGAAGAAAATAGATCGAAAGCTCGACGTTCCGTGATTCGATCGGGCGGCGATTAATTTGTTTTTTGTTTCATTTTGTGGAATGGCTCTGAACACTGAATCTGTTTGACTGATCATGTTTGTTCTGGTTAGTTTCGCGAATAATTTAGTACTAACTCCATGTCACCATCCTTCTATCAGGACTGTATGTTTTTAAACTTTGTATTTTTTGAAGGTAGGCAATACTTTTTCAAAGTTAGGATTAAAAAGCGTGAATACTCGTTTGCATTAGGTCGGTGATATCCACAAATTGATTGACTTACTAACTTCAATGGAAATTTTGGAAGCTATGACTAGTGGTGTCGACAACTTACGTTGAGCTTAGTGGAAACTAGAGAGTCGTCTAGCCATGTCTCGGTAATAGCAAGAAATGAATAAGAATTTGTACGAGTCATGGTCTGAAAAAGTAGCTAAGCGATTCTTGCTACTAGAAACTATACTATGGGCATTGGCAAGAAAAACACTAGGGGAAAAGAGAGCATCAAACTTGGGAAAGCAGGCCGGGAAATTTCTCCTGCGTAGAATGCGAGCCTGATTCACTTTGTTGCTTGTGGAGTTTCTTTCCAATCCTCCGTTCCGATGGGTGAGTGAGAAAAGCACCCTCATCGTTTTCCCCTTTCATCTCGAAAATTCTTTGCCAATGGTTCGTTCACATCCGACAAGGAGTGTGCTTTGCGAAGGCGCAACCCAGGCGGGTCAATCTTCGTAGAGTTAATCCTCTTTGGGGGTCGGCCCTTCTTGACTGGAGGCTTTTTCGTAGAGGCTGTCGGCATGCTTTCCCTTGTCGTATCCTTTTGCGCAGCCAAAGTCGTTTCGGAAGCAGTCACATGCAAAGCTCTAACCTGTTCCCGAGGTACACTCCTTGTCGTATTCACGTCGAGGTGTGGAAGGGGGTCATTTTGGGTTGAAGGAAGTGTCTCCTGCCTCTTGCTCTTGTAGCAACTTGGGTCCGAGCGTCGAATCACAATGAGCCGAGCCTACCAGGGCAGAGAATGCTTCTTAACACGATAAAAGGAACCCAGTAAGTTCGACACACCGTGTGTAGAGCCAAAAATCACCTTCAGAGGTCTAGGTAGAAACGGAGAGAAGATGCCCATCCTATATGATTGGACCACCATTGAATCCAGACCATACGAGGCCAAAATCGCATCCAAAAGGTGACGATCCGCTGCTCTTCTAGCAAACGGTGTCATGGCGGGATGGACGTCAGCTTCAGGCAGTCCCTCAATCACCAGGTGGTAATCGTTTCCGAGAATAATTTTAATTTAATATATGTTAAAGGTCCGTTATTTCACAAAAGAAATTTCCTCAGATCGATCGGATTAATTATGCATTGGAAATTGGAATAAATATTGATGATTTCACGTTGAAAATCTCACCCTAGCGTGGGCGTACGAATCCGGCTCTCCTTCATCCCAATTCGTGAAATCCACCACACTTCCATCCGTCCATTCAAAAGCATTTTCTTTGTTCGGATTTCTCTGAATAAAGGAATTTTTATGTTTAGACATTGATATTTCTTTTTTTTTTTTTATTATTCAAATTATTCTAGTTTCCCAATTGATACCATTATTTCTATCAATGAGTTTCGCTGTTTATATTTTTTTTCTATTTTACCAACAAATTTTTTCTATTTTAAAACTATTTTAGTCAATTCAAATTAGTTTTCTATCATTTCAGATTTCCATCAAAGAACTATCAGTCCAAGGGATCATTTTTTCACGGAGAGCCTTCCGAAAATAGCTGAAAATTCATTACTTTGTAGCTATTTATTTATGTCTTTCAATAAGAAAAATTCCACCTTCAGTCCGATCCAGGACCCAACATTCGAATGTTTTCAACAGTTTTCGCTGAAATAAATATCGATTGTTTTTGGTTTATAAAGCATAAATTCCTACGAAAATCATGAATTTTCAGAATTGAATCATTTCGATTTCTTACCGAGTTTCCAAACAAAAATCGTGCTCTTCCTGACTGTGAATGGAAACTAGATGGCTCCTTCGACTCGCACAATATGCCTCGGCTTCATCAAATGTTTTCCCTTGATAAAAAGCCTTGAGATGAAGATAATCCTGGTTCACAACATCCACCAAACCTTGTACCAAGAAGGGGTTTTTGGGAAATACCACCATCCTTCCATATCCAGGACCCCAGTCATCGTTCGTATCCTGAATTTTTTCGAAAAACTTTACTCCAGATTTTTTAGACAAATACTCAATCCCTTTCCTTAAAAAACTCACAAATCTGCCCCTCAACTTCACCATTTCGGCCGTTTTGTTTTCCCTTTCAAATTCTCTAGAGGAATTGATTGGATTGAGTGAAATGGGTGTTTTGGGAGTCAAAAAACTGTTTTCTCAAGTCGCAGTCCACAAGAGATACCAAATTACCAAACTCACAATTGGGTTTCGAGGCCAGAGTTCTTGCTCTGCAACGCCTTGATTTTTCCTCGAGCCTCGACGAGTTCTTGTTGGGTTTCATTCCTGAAAAATCTTGTCGTTGAGACACTCAAGTCTATTTCCTGTTTATTCTATCCATTTCGCTTTTCTCCCAGAAAACCAACAAATTTCTTCGACAAGATCTCAAGCAGACGGTATCCGGACAATCCCCTTTACGGCTGAAATCTAAGATCATCGAAAAGTCTCTTTCTGACCAACTTCAAAGTACGACGATCACGGATCTCACCTCGATCATTCGGAGATCTGAATGGTTGACAACATAGCTATTTGAAGGGCAAAGAATACGTGGATGGATCCACTTGAACGCTTTCTTGAATCGATGAGGAAATTTGATGGAAAGGAGGAGAATCGAGATGAATAGACCCAAGGGCATCACACCCATTCCGCTGAATTGGTTAATTCGTTTTGAATTCGGGGAAATGGGAAGAACGAAGGGAGGGACGATCCGATAAACAATTGTTTTTTCGCGGAAAAGAGCCTTTAAGAGCGCTGAAATTGTTTAGAAAAGCGATCGCATTCCAACCGACGATTTACTCATTAGGCCGTTGAAACAATCGCTTCAACAACAAAAAGCGGCATTTCATAAAAAAATGAAACCGTTAGTTCGTGTGAGGTAGGTGAATGATAACTCGTGGATTTTGAAAAAGAATGTTAGTATTATCATATGTGTTCCACAGTCGTTGCCAAACTTCATTCAATATTCTTTAATTCTTTTCGGAGATAATAAGACGGTCAGAGATCGAGAAGCCGCACATAGATTCGTGAATCATATTTGACAAAGACTGTTTCTTTGGTTGAAGCTTGTCGATAAGCTTATGGCCTTCAATGATGTCTAAGGCATATTGTTTCTCAAGGAAATGCTTGCCTATATGTAACGTTTCATTCGGATTCTTGGCTCTGGGTCGAACTGAAGGTTGAATTTTTCTTATTGAAAGACATCAATAAATATATAGAAACTAATGATTCTTTCAGCCATTTCCGAAAGGCTTTTTGTGAAAAATATGTCCGTTTGACTGATAGTTCTTTGATAGAAATAATGGTTTCAATTGGGTAACTAGAAGAATTTCAAGAAGAAAAAGGAAAATCGGATCGAAATATCAATGGCTAAACATAAAAATTTCTTTATTCAAGGAAATCCGAACAAATGGAATGCTTTTGAATGAACAGCTCGTAACTCTCGAATTGAAAATCGCCACTTACGGCTGCGATTCTGCTATCTTTTTGAGGAAATGCTTGAATTCCTTCTCGATTTCCTTTAAATACATACTCTCTCATTCAACTCTTAACCTCCAACAAACCGAGTACTTGTATTTGCAATCCCGAATAGGCCTCTCTGAACTCTTTCTCGCTTGTCGCGTCTTGGTGTTGAATGTAGCGATTCATCATTTGGAATGTCGAATTGATAGGGTTTTAAGATTGCCCGAAATGCCAACTGATGATGATTGCTAATCATTTGGGTCGGTTTTGATTGAAAGTTCTTGAATAACAGATTATCAAGCATGCCGCTCTAGTTTTCAATTCCCTTTAGAGTGCTGCTCTATTAGAGGATGCCGTTCTCATAGAGGGTGTCGGTCTAATGACCGGAAGCATCTAACAAAGTAAACCGGATGAACCTCTTTGGATCACCAAGAAATACACTTCGATCAATAAAAGTTGTCCTTTAATTTTATTTAAAGTTTAACAAAAAAAACATACAAATATAATAAAGCTAACAGAGATAACAATTTTTCTAACCAATCATAACTCGTCTTCAACTAGCATTTAGCTTGCTTCAACACTTTGATGGCTGGACTTGTGGTGATTCTTCAAGTTCAAGCAAGCTAAATGCGAGCAAGCAAGCAAGCTAAAAGCTAAAGCTTTTTCTCGGCTCCTTGTGATCTATTCCAAATGGCCAGAGCAGTACCGACCTCTGGTAGCGTCAAATCCCGCCCAGCATCATTGACCCGTTTCCGTTTTCGATTCTCGAGTTGTTTGAGAAGTGCTTTTGGTTTTCACCTATCTTGAATCGACCATCGTGATACTCCAAAATGTTTGGCAGTTCTCTGATTGAGTTCTTCTTGGCGTATTTAATCACTTCGAGCTTGAATTTCACGTCAAAGGCTTCCCGCTCCTCTTGCACTCTCAAATCCTCGGCTTCAAATGGGAAGAGCGAATGCGGCGAATGAGGAAAATTCTAACTTTGTTACAATTGTGCTTCGAGATCGTCGTTCTTGCTTTCGTCTCGGCGACTTTCCTTTCCAAATCGGCTTCCAACTTCGCGATTTTCCCCATTAAATTCGCCTCGATTTGAACCATTTTTGCTGCCAATCTACAATCTTCTCCAATTCATAATTTAACACAGCTCATGTTCTCTGGGTTATCAATTCGTTAATTTTATGAAATAAATCTTAAAAAAAATCGTTGCCTACTCTGATGATAGCCATTTGATTCCTGGTGTATATAGGTAAACGAAAACAATTCATACTAGCCTACAATTTTAGTATACAGAGACGAAGCAAAGCGAAGCGTGAAAACAGTGATCATCAGCTTCTTTGAGTAAGTGTCCAGCCTAGATTTATCAGAACGGTATAAAGAAAGCAGAGTTTTGTTAAGAATTCTTCAAGTATCCTTCATGATTCCTCAAGATTGAAAACCAATGATTTTTTAATTTTCTTGCTATTGTTGTATCTTTTTTGTGTGTTCTCCAATAAATTGCTCCACTCATTAATTTAAAACTTAAACGGTTTACTGATGCCTAAATCATTGTATAAATTTGTTAAAACGAACTTTAAAATTTTGTTAAAAGTCGGCTATCGGCTCCAAAAATATTATCGAGAAATAAAATTTCCACATTAGGTGGCGATATTCAATTCAAAATCATTTAGATTAGCAAAGAAACCATCGAGTGGGCCTCGTTCAGATTTCGAGAGATATTGGCCAAACGATCCACAAGGCTGTCGACGAGATTTGTGTCAAGCACTGCCGGGTTCGAGCTTTATTCGAACGATCAACAATCGGAACTTGGGAATACAACCGAGCCTATTCATTTTGGTCAAGGAATTTAAAGCTCACATGATTTCGTTATCAAAACAGTTGGGGCTTACGGAGGGGCTCTCCTCTATTGTATATCTTACTGAATCAATCGCTAGTCAGTCGTATCAACGTCAAATGTCGTATCGTGTTTTAGTAACAGATTTCATTGAATTTAAACCAGTATATTCTATTCAAAAACATATCAATTCTTTTGTTGGCAAATGCAAACTCGGTTTAAAAATGGCAAGTGAGGTGTTAGGCCCGTTGGAAAGATGAAGCTGGGTATTTAAAGTTAAATAATAGAATAAGATCAAAACTATTAGAACATGAATGGAATGCGGAGATTATTGAAGTTATTTAGACGAAAGTTCGGCTCGTTCTGGAAAAAGTTGAAATCATCACGGAATTCCGAGATCATCGATATTTATTCATTTATTTGTTTCCAATGCATAGTTAATTCAAACATGTTTCTATCAATCTGAGGAAATTTCTTTTTCTTTTCTTTAGAAATGAACCCATTTCAGTTTTAGAGCGGCCATGGGAAATGGACGGTCTGGTCTCCTACCCGACAGCTTCTTCAAACCCTCGTTTCGGCTCTTTGGGTCGTTCAAAGCAAGAAAAGTCCAGTTTCAAATTTACTGAGTCAGTCAATCTGCAGAACCGAATAAACTTCTCAATCGTTTGAAGAAATCGTTTGCTCTTCAATGCGGGCTTCGATTTGCATGGAATGCTGTTTGAAGACACAGCCGGAAACTTATAAGCATTCAAATGCCTATCAAGGCAAATATCCAACTTGTACACATACCTATGCTACGTACTACGTCAAAACCGAAAATCAATTTCGAGGTAGATGAATTCTCTTTAGACTCACTAATTTTTCCATAGATTTTCTTAATGAGCTACCCCAAATGACTCGACAAATGGAAACAGTCGAAAGAGTGCCGAAGTTTTCGTTTTCAGTTTTCGCTGAAATGAATATTGATTGTTGTTGGTTGACGAATGATGACTAAACGAATCGGGCATTCTCCTCCTTTCTCTTTATTTGGTGAGAAATCCGTATTTTGCCTGGCAACAAATTTCTGGTTTGATTTCCTCATTAATTCTGCTTATTTAGTAGCCTTTTCCTTTAATATTCACTTATGCTTCGAGAAAATTCAAAATTAAATTAAAGACTGTTTTTGATACCAGCAAAGATTTGGCGAAAAAGCCACAAATCGGCTTCGAGCTGGGCGATTTTCTTCAAGGAGGTGGCCGGTTCTTCTATGCCTTTGACACTCTTTTCAGGCAATTCTTCAGTCATTTCGGGTCATTTCAGTTTTCGGCCAATGGAGAATATCGAAAACAAGAAAGAACCACCCCCCCGGAAACAACAAGTTTCCGTTGAGAGAAGCTTTGTTTAGCTATGCTTTTTATAAAAATGTTCTGCTTTAAAACAAAAACAACTTAAAAAAACATAGAACAACCAAAACAACAATCAACAATGATGACACCTCGAGGAGCTTTGAATTTTGAAGTTGGGGAAGTCAAAAGGCTCTAGGAAAAATGTTTACGCCTGGGGAGATAGATAGCTCCCTCGCGGGGATTGAGGAATAATTGTGGCGATTTTATGGGAACGGTCGGTTCAGTTGACCTTCCCCGAAAGTAGTCTCCTGATAACCCGCGTTTTCCACTCACCAACTTCACACGAACTGACGGCTTTCTTTTTCCCGAACTGTTACTTTTTTTTGCACGAAGTTCTATTCGAAGCGATTCTTTCAACGGCTTAATGAGTCAATCGCTTTCCCTAAACAATTTCAGGGCTCTCAAAAGCTCTTTCCGTAAAAAACAATTGTTTATCGGATCGTCTCTCGATTCGGTCTTCCCATTTCCTCGAATTCAAAACTAATCAACCAATTCATCAGAATGGGTGTGATGGCCGTCAGTCTATTCATCACGATTCTCCTCCTTTCCATCAAATTTCCCCGTCAATTCAACAAAGCGATCATTTGGATCAATTCACGTATCCTTTTCCCTTCAAATAGCTATGAAGTCAACCATTCAGAGCTCCGATAGATCGAGATGAAATTCTGTCTGGTGATCGTCGTACTTTGAAGTTGATTATATAGGGGTTTTCGATGATCTTAGATTTCAGCAGTAAAGATACCGTCCTTCAAATAGCTTCAAATAGTTTGAGATCTTGTCAGAGAAATTGGTGAGTTTTTTGAGAGAAAAGCGAAATTGATAGAATAAACCAGAAATGGCTTGAGTGCCTCAATGACAAGACTTTTCAGGAATCAAACGCAACAAGAACTCGTCGAGGCCCGAGGAAAAATCAGCGGACTCGAGACGGAAATGTGGGTGAAATCAAAAATCTTGAAGAATTCAAGCTCATCTTTTTGGACTTTGAATAATGAGCGATTTGAGTATTCAGCGCAACAGAGCGGAACGAAACGAAGGAGAAAGATGTCGAGATGAGCCGATTGACAGCAAACTGGCTCAAATGAGGCGAATTTAATGGAGAAAATCACCGAAACGAAAAAGGAAGAACGACGATCTCGAAGCACAATTGTACTAATTTTGTAATTTTCTTTTGACAAGCTCAATATATAGTAAAAATCCGTACCTTTTTCAGAAGAACTCAAAAAACGGAAGTGAGGAAAGGAAAACCAAGACTGGAGAGCTCGAAGGGAAAAACAACGCGTTGCAGAGCAAGAACTCTGACCTCGAAACCCAAATGTGAGTTCATTTGGTATCTCTTGTCGACTGAGACTGGAGAAAAAAATTTCTTCATTCCCAAAACACCCATTCCACTCAATCCAATCAATTCCCCTCTAGAGAATTTGAAAGAGAAAACAAAACGGCCGAAATCAAGAAGTTGCGGGCATATTTGTGGGTTTTTAAGGAAAAGGATGGAGTATTTGTCTAAAGAATCCGGAGTAATGTTCTTCCAAGAAATTCAGAAATCGAACGATGACTTTGGTCTTGGATCCGAATGGATGGTCGTATTTGACAAAACCGCTTCTTTGTACAAGGTTTGACGGATGTTATAAACCAGGATTAGCTTCATCTCAAGGTTATCGATCAAGAAATGACATTTGATGAAGCTGAGGTATATTGTGCGGGCCGACAGGGCCATTTAGTCACGATTCAAAGTGAGGAAGAGAAACGATTTTGTTCAGAAACTGGGTAAGAAATCGAAATGATTCAATTCCTGAAAATTCATGATTATCGTAGAAATTTATGCTTTGTAAACCAAGAACAACCGATGTTTATTTCAGCGAAAACTGTTCACCCCTTTCATGGGTTCTGGATCGGACTGGAAGGTTGAGTTTTTCTTATTGAAAGACATAAATAAATATAAGATATAGAAACTGAAAGAATATAAGATATTCTTTCAGCCATTTCCCGAAGGCTTTTGTGAAAAATGATTCGTTTGGCTAGTAGTTCTTTGATTGAAATAATGGTTTCAATTGGGTAACTAGAAGAATTTCAAGAAGAAAAAGGAAAATCGGATCGAAATATCAAAGTCTAAACGCAAAAATTACTTTATCCAGAGCAAACCGAACGACGAAAATGCTTTGAATGGACCGATGGAAGTTCGGTGGATTTCACGAATTGGGATCCGAAAGACCCGGATTGGGACACCCACACTTATGTGAGATTTCCAGCGTGAAATCATCGATATTTATTCCAATTTCCGATGCATAATTTGATTCAAAAATATTTGGATCAATCTTAGGGAGATTTCTTTTTGGAAATAAGGCAAAGTGTTATATCAAAGGATTTCGATCAGAAATGAACACATTTCAGCTTGATAGCGACGATGGAAAATGGCGGGTCTATAGTCCTGGCTGTCTGCTTCGTTTTATCTGCAAAATTCGCTCTCAATTCTGATAAGTTCCTTATGTTCTTTCTGTGGACAAAACCAATAAATCCCATTTTATCCAGTCTTCTGAAAACACACAACTGCACATTACCTTTTTCTTTATTTCTGAGTTGTTATTTAAAAATCTCATATAAAAGTTTTCCCTAAAACCCAGAATTTCGCCAAAGCTGCAAGGATTTTGCTTTCTCGTCACACCTGAATAGACTATTAGATAAACGTGTTGAACATCAATAGACATCAGCATGAGGAAACTGGCAATTCTTCGTGAAGGTCGCGCTTCTCGTCCCTCAACTCGTCGATTTGTCTTTGAGTTTTTTCCTTGTTGTTCTCACTGTTGGTTCTGTAGGCGGAGATTTTTCGGAGATCAGAAAAAGCAGAAACCAGTGTGGGCTTGAATGAAAAATTTATTATTGTGAGTAATTATTAAATGATCGTAATGAAGAGAGATGCTTTCAAACAATGATCATGAATCACCTTCTTATATATGAACTGGGTTCTGGTTTGAGATGAGCAGATGGCTTTCTGTGAGTTTTGGGTTTTCGAGCCAGATGCTTCAAAGCACTCACTCATTGATTGCCGGGTAGTGAATAGAGTTGTATCTTTCTTTGCCAGTGTATTTCGATCTAGAAAGCAATGAACTACTAATTCTTGTTGTCCGTTTGACACTACACATATTGATCGTGATTCTGTGGATGTCCGGGATCGTAGCTGTGCTGTCCCGGTTGAACGTTGATCGGCGTCTTGTACTTACTGAACATTCTCAGATTGACTTTTAAAGGCATTAACTCCTGAAAAAAAACTGAGAAATCTCCTATTGTCAGCCCAATCGATATAACTCTAAGTTTACCGTAATCCTCAACGAAATGGCAAAAGGCCAGTAGACAGAGAGTCTGGAATTCGGTTTTTGTTACAGGATTCATTTGATTCAAAATAGTAGAAGAATCCTAGAAATTCCATTTTTACGAATACGACAGATGTTGGCTTTGGTGAACGATATGACTCCTAAAATATGGCGCCTCAGAAACAATTATGAATGTTAATTTAAGGAGGGGAAGTTGTTGATTGCGATGAGCAAGAGGGAGAGGTCCCAAGAAGAGGTAAGATTTCAGAAGATGTGGATATGTCAGAAGAAGTGCAGTGCGTAACAGAATGATAGATCCACCATGTTTTGAAAACTGAATAACATCAATTGATAAACGAAAACGTAGTTAAATCAAGGTGGATCTATCATTTTGTTACGCGGGCAAAATGGCGAAAAGCATAGAAACATTTCTATAAGCGCCATGTCTTCGCGATGAAACAACAGTTTGATGCAGATTGATTTAAAACTAAATTTTGAACTTGTTTTTGGTTAAAACTTGGAATTTTTATTCAAAATGTCTAGTTCCTGGGGCGAAAACATGGTGGATCTATCATTTTGTTACGCACTGTAGCTCCGATTTTTTGATGTTACTCGAGTTGTTAAACACCTTCGACCTCCAGCTCAGTTGGGTTGTGGATTGGCCATCTCAATAGCATCGAATTCAATTGTAGCATCTCAGGTTTTTCTTGGGGTTTTTTCATCACTTGTAAGATTTTGTTCTCCTTTTTTGACGTCATTCGATGAATGAGTTAATTTCTGATGATACAACACATTTTGATACAACACTGATACAACACTGATTTGCAGATAAAACGATACTGATTGATAGGAAAATAGGCCACCCATTTCCCATCGCCGCTCCCAAGCTGAAATGAGTCAATTTCTGATGGAAATCTTTTGATCAAACACTTTGCGCAATTTCACAAAAAGAAATTTCCCAAATTGATCGAAATATTTTGGGATTAATTATGCATTGGAAATTGGAACAAATATTGATGATTTCACGCCGAAAATCTCACATAAGCGTGGGTTTTGTTTCAGTTCGTTTCCATCCTCCAACTCGTGAAATCCTCCGAGCTTCGATCCGTCCATTCAAAAGCATTTTCTTTGTACGGATTGCTCCGGATAAAGAAATTCTTATGTTTAGACATTGATATTTCGATCCGATTTTCCTTTTTTCTTCTTGAAATTATTCTAGTTTCCCAATTGAAACCATTATTTCTATCAGAGAACTATCAGTCAAACGAGTCATTTTTTTCACAAAGAGCCTTCCGACAATGGCCGAAAGAATCATTCCTTTCTATCTATTTATTTCTTTCGATAAGAAAAATTCAACCCGCAGTCCGATCCAGAAATCCCAGTTTAAACTAACAGTTTTCGCTGAAATATCGCTGAAATATCGATTGTTTTTGGTTAATAAAGCATAAATTTCTACGAAAATCACGAATTTTCAGAATTGAATCATTTCGATTTCTTACCAAGTCTCCAAACCAAATCGTGCTCTTCGGTACTGTGAATCGAGACTAAATGGATCTTTCGACTCGCACAATATGCCTCGACTTCGTCGAATGTTATTCTTGATCGAAAGCCTTGCGATGAAGATAATCCTGGTTCACAACATCCACCAAACCTTGTACCGTCGTTCTTCCTTTTCGTCCCGGCGATTTTCCTTTCTAATTCTCGATTTCTCGCCCTTCCGTCAACCAAATCAGCCTCCAACTTCGCGATTTTCAAATTCGCTTCGATTTGAGCGATTTTTGCCTTTTTTTCGATTTTTGACCATCGACCCATCTCGACGTCTTTGTCCTTTTTCATTTCTTCCCCAAACGCTTCGATTAAATTAAAGACTGTTTTTGATAGAAGCAAAGATTTGGCGAAAACCCACAGATCGGCTTCGAGTTGGGCGATTTTCTTCAACGAGATGGCCGGTTCTTCAGTTTGTGATTTCCTAGTTAAAAAGGGGTTTTTAGATATTCTGTTTCACGATAAAGTTTCAGCTAAAGGCATTGTGTCTCTTTTCTGTTGTCTACTGAGATATCTGTTCAGGAATCGCTGAGAGGATTCTGGACAGTCCAGCTCCTGATGCGTTTGCTTCGAAGAACAAAAAGAATAAATTTCAATGAATGTAGAACGCTGTCAAGCAAAAAGATTGTAGACTCGGCGGTATCGTCTACATCGCTAGAAAGCTGCAACTCAATGGAGACTTGTACCTGACCTAGCGGCTGAGAATATTTGGCCTCAAAACGGCACGGTTGCCAATTTTACGATCCGAAATAAGTTGAGTAAATGACTTTGGGCTAAGCGATGGGAAAGACAAGACAAACACAAAAGGGCATGTATTGACCTACCAAATCCATTCAATGCCAATCCTTCCATTTTAGTCGCGCCCGCAAAGTGTGGTAATCACAGAAACTCGAAGTTGATCATCATGGGCTTTTTTTCGTTTTGTGAAGTTTGGGAGAGAATCTATCTAGATCAGATCCAAACCATTTAGCATCATTTCGATGTGGGTGCCGGAGAAAATCAGTTCCGAGCCTTTCTTTAAAGCTTTAACGCAGTCCCCTAGACCGCCACTGTATTTCTTCCCTTATAGGTGAGGTGAGAGTTCGCCGAAAATGACCGAAAGCGCTGAAATGGAAATGAGAAAGGCTCTCGGGTAGTCTACGAACAGTATTTCTGTTGCAATAATATTTCACCCAATGTTTTATTGTCTTCTTCATCTTCTATTTCAAGCCATTCGGTTAACATTCCCAGGTCGGCTTTT